AACACTGAGCAGAAACTGCTGGGATGTAATCATAACTGAAGAGAATGGACACAGTAGAGACAAAGGAGAGGAAAAAATAAATGAAGATAAAAGAAAGGAGGAGAGAAGAAACTGGAAGTCTTAGAAAACAACAGAAGAGAGAACTCTGTGAAGTTAGAGCAGCTACCCCAAACCAAGCATCTACAATTTCAGAAAACAGATTCCACATAAAAATTAGCTCTGGGGACGGGGCTGTGCCCCCGGAGGCCCCGCGCTCCCGCATCCGCTTTCTCCTGCACCCGCGGTGGGGAAACTGGACGGTGAGATGGGATCCTCACCCTGTGCCACCTGCCGGATGCCTGGAGCCAGGCCAGGAGAGACGCGAGGGGCCGGCAGAGCCCATCTCCCCCTCCCCCTCCCCCAGGGTCAGCGAGCACATGGACCTGGGGCCCGCGGAGCTGGTGGGCCGCAGCTGCTACCAGTTTGTCCACGGACAGGACGCAGCCAGGCCCCGCCGGAGCCACCTGGACCGTGAGGACCTCCCCCACCTCGGCGCCCCAGGCCTCAGCCCCCGCTCCCCGAAGTCCTGCTCTGGGGGTGGCCAGTCCCTCCAGTTACCAACCCCAGGGCTCAGCTCGGCACAGAGAGCAGCAGGGAGCCAGTGGGAGCGGGGTTGGCTGCGGGCCTCTGACCCGCCCGACACCAGGTGCTGCCTCCTGACTGGCTGTCTCCCTCTGTATGTGGCCTTTCTCTTCTCCCACCACCTCATCCTTCCTGTTCCCCGTCTCCGGTCCCTCGGTCCCTCTCCACACCTGCCGCCCCATCTTTCCTGCCCCACCTGTCTCCTCTGCCCACCTCCCTCTCCCCGTCTCCTGCTCACCTGTCTCCTCTCCCTCCGCCTGTCCTGTCTCCCCATCCATTCTGGCCCCCCTGCCCCTGGCTGGGCCCAGTGCTGGACAAGGGCCAGGTGGTGACCGGGTACTACCGCTGGCTGCAGCGCGCGGGGGGCTTTGTGTGGCTGCAGTCCGTGGCCACCGTGGCTGTGAGCGGGAAGAGCCCCGGGGAACGCCACGTGCTGTGGGTCAGCTACGTGCTCAGGTGAGGGCTGCACCCCGCCCGGCCCACGGGGGCTGGGCCCACAGAGAGGGCGCTAGCAGGGGACAAGCCCGGAGCTAAAAGGGGACGGGGACAGAGCAAGGGCCTGGAAGCGGAGCGTCCTCGCTGGAGGCAGAGGAGTGGGGAGCGGATGACAGTATTGGCCAGTGAGGCTGGTCTGCGGCGGCCTCAGGCCCAGGCTGAGGGCCTGGTCCCGATCCTGGGGCACTGGGGAGCCATGGCGGGATTTAGAGCTTTTGGGAAAGCCTCCCTGGTTGCTGTGAAGAGGGAGGAAGCTGGGGCAGGTCCTGGGGAACGCCAGGCCATGCAGGGGAGGCGAGGTGGCCACGCCTCTGTCCTTGCTGGACCTGGACCCCGCCCCAGAGGGGCAGCAGTTTGGAAGGAAGACACAGGCGCCAGTTGAGCAGCAAGAGCCTGGGGGACACCTCGGGGTGACATCCAGGGCAGCCCCGGTGGGG